ATAATATAAATTATTTATCATAAATCTTATACACAATTTATATATTTAAAAATATTTATTTATATAAAATTTAAATATTATTTATATATTCAAACATAATATTTATTTGTATATTTTATTTATTATAAAATTTAGTACACATGCAACTAAATTATTAATTCTATCATAAATTAAAGTTTTATTTCAAATACACCATTTATTTTAAGTGGTTGCTATATTTAATTTTAATAATATGTGAATGCATTAGAAGTTAAGTACATAATAAATAAGGGAAACAACAACAACAATAATAATCATGATCAGGCTCAAGTTTCCAATCCGGTGCAATGATTATGGGTGCAGAGGTGAGTCTAGCCTTTAAAGCTTCAAAAGCTTTTAGACAAGAATCATTAAAGTAAAAGGGAGTGTCTTTGTTTAGGAGATTACTTAACTACCAGTCACTATTGGGAGTTTAGCTATTGGGAAGGCCTTGCTTGATTTGGGGGCTAGCATCAATCTCATGCCCTTATCTATGCTTCAGAGGATTGGTGATTTGGAGGCGAAGCCTACTTGCATGACCCTGTAGTTGGCTGATCGATTGGTAAAGTATATTCATGGCATAGTGGAGGATGTTCTGGTGAAGGTGGACCGTTTCTTGTTTCCCGCTGACTTTGTGGTTATGGATATTGAAGAAGACATTGATGTACCTCTCATTCTTGGGCGACCATTCATGAAAATTGCAAGAGTCCTAATTGATGTGGACAATGGGAAGCTTAAGGTGAGAGTGGATGATAAAGAAGTCAATTTTGATATCTTTGATGCCATGCACTATCCCAAAGACAAGATTAGTTGTTTCCGAGTAGATGTACTTGATGACCTTGTGGAAGACACTAGGAAGCATGCCTCTTTCTCTACCCCTTTGGAGAAAGTCCCGATTAATGTGGTAAAATACCTCCATGAAGAAGAAGATAGATAGATTGAGGCATGTTTGAAGAGACTTAACTCATATAAGGAGGTGACACCTAATTTTGTGCGTATAGAAGACTTGAAGGAGGAAGGGGAGGTGAATGCACCTAAGCTTGAGTTGAAAATACTTCCTTCCAATCTCAAGTATGTATTTTTGGAAGAAGGTGGAAGCAAATCGATTATCATAAGTAGTTCCTTATCCACATTAGAGGAGGAAAGGCTCGTGAAAGTCTTGAAGTTTTATCAAGGAGCAATTGAGTGGTCTATTTCTGATCTCAAGGGAATTAGCCCAACCTATTGTATGTGTAAAATATTTATGGAGGACAAATAAAAATCGGTTGCTCAACCACAAAGGTGACTCAATCCTGTGATGAAGAAGGTATAGTGAAGAAGGAAGTGATTAAGCTGTTGGATGCCAAAATGATCTACCCTATTTCAGATAGTGCATGGGTGAGCCCTGTGCAAGTGGTTCCAAAGAAGGGTAGTATGACAGTGATTCAGAATGAGAAAAACGATTTGATTCCTTCTAGGACGGTCATGGGGTGGAGAATGTGTATTGACTACCAAAAGCTCAACAAGGCTACAAGGAAAAATCATCTTCCACTCCCGTTTATGGATCAAATGCTTGAGAAATTAGCTGACCAAGCTTATTATTGCTTTCTTGATGGGAATTCGAGTTACAATCAAATTATGGTAGATCTGGAAGACCAAGAAAAGACCTCTTTCACATGTCCCTTTGGTGTCTTTGCTTATCGAAAGATGCCATTTGAACTTTGCAATGCTCCTGCAACATTTTAGAGATGTATGTTGGCTATATTCTCTAACCTAGTGGAGAAGAGCATTGAGGTCTTCATGGACGACTTCTCCGTGTTCGAGTCTTCGTTTGATGAGTGCCTAGCCAATCTTGAAGTGGTGCTTAGAAGATGGTTGGAAACCAACCTTATCCTCAATTGGGAGAAATGTCATTTCATGGTGACCGAGGGGATAGTCCTAGGGCACAAAATCTCTCTCAAAGGTATTGAAGTTGACCTAGCCAAGGTGGAGGTAATAGAGAAACTTCCTTCACCCATCAATGTCAAAGGTATTAAGAGTTTCTTAGGGCATGCTGGCTTCTACAAGCGATTTATAAAAGACTTTTCAATGATATCCAGACCCTTAAGTAATCTCCTAAACAAAGACACTCCCTTTTACTTTAATGATTCTTGTCTAAAAGCTTTTGAAGCTTTAAAGGCTAGACTCACCTCTGCACCCATAATCATTGCACCGGATTGGAAACTTGATTTTGAAATCATGTGTGATGTTAGTGATTATGCGGTTAGGGCAGTCTTAGACCAAAGGAGGGCTAAAACTTTTCATGTTATTCACTATGCTAGCAAGGTTTTAAATGAGGCAAAAATTAATTATGCCACTACTGAGAAAGATTTGCTAGCCATAGTGTTTGCATTGGAAAAGTCCCTCGGTCACCATGAAATGACATTTCTCCCAATTGAGGATAAGGTTGGTCTCCAAGCATCTTCTAAGCACCACTTCAAGATTGGCTAGGCACTCATCAAACGAAGACTCGAACACGGAGAAGTCGTCCATGAAGACCTCAATGCTCTTCTCCACTAGGTTAGAGAATATAGCCAACATACATCTCTAAAATGTTGCAGGAGCATTGCAAAGTTCATATTACAATATACATGTTGGGGTAGTAAGGGTGTCACAAGGCTAGACTTTAAGGAGTCTGGGATATATGTTTCTATTTAAGGCTTGACCTATTCTCATCCCTATTTGTAAGAAATTTGGTGAAGTTGAGGAAAAAAATTATTAGAAAAAAGGCATGTTTTTTAGAGCAAAAGAAAAGATAAAGCATTCAGGGAGGACATTTTTCATGTTGGGAGAAGGTGTTAGAAAAGGTGACCTAACTAAGAGGGGGTGAATTGGTTTATCAAAGTTTCTTGTGCAACTATGGTGGTTTTGAAAAACTTTTTAAAATCTTTCCAGAGAAATATATTGACCTATAGCTTCTATATATATATAATACTTAGTTCATATTCAATGTAAGCCTAAATTCACTCGATTCTTAATGCAATGTACATGTCTCACAACACGTAAAAATAAACATGAAAATAGAAATGCAAGAATGTAAATTCAAGTGTAACGAGAAAGAAAAATGTACAACCAATTTATACTAGTTTAGCCACATTTACTTGTGACCAACATCCATTCTCCAATCAACCCCATTGAGATTTTCCACTAATAATCTTTAATATCAGAAGTTTTACAATCATAGTACCACATGCATATCACTTCTACAATACTAAAGAAAGCACTCTTTGAACCCCAAGAAGCACCTACTTGTGGCAACCCACTACAATATTCTCTCTTCTTAAGAAACCAACTAATATAGAAATTTAAGGAACAAATTCACTTGATGTATAAAACAAATTAGGGAAGATGAATCAACCATGTAGCTTAACCTTTCACTCCATGAAGATGATGATCAACACAATTCTTGAAAACTTGAGGTTACCACAAAGGTCAAATAACCTTTTCTTATAAAGAGAAATGTATTTCAAAGAGTGTTTATGTAAAAGATATCACAAAGATTAATAAAAAAAGACCTTTTCAAGGTGTGAGGCATGATATATATATATATATATATATATATATATATATATATATATATATATAAGTTTTTTGACTTAAATAATCAATTATTTACATGAATAATCGATTATTTTATTCTTAGTAATTCTTGAAATCAACCAAGAACAATTTAATCGATTATTTTGAGAAATAATCAATTATTTCAAAACATTGTTTCTGAAATAATTGATTGTTTTTGTTGAATAATCAACTATTACAACAATGGTTCCTTGGGTAATTGAAAAACTGAGCAAGTAATTGATTATTACTTGAAATAATCGATTAATTTTAGTGAAAACTTAATTTTAAGAATAGTCGTAAATAAATGAAGATAATTTCACCAATACAGAATTAATTATAATTAAAAAAATTTAGTGCATTTTAACTTACCCTCTTAACATTGTTTTTTGTAATATTTAAGAATGAAGGACCATTACAAAATCATATGGTTAAATTTAGGATACACATAACAATATGCCACAATATGAAAAAAATAATTTTTTGACATAAATTATGTTACAAATATACATTAATAAAAAAATACCTCTTAGAGATCTAAGACACAACCAACAATTATATATTTTTCATAATATGGGTGTTGTGCAACTTTATCATCCACACTAGCACCTATCACTACAAGAAAATGACAATTTTGCGACGGTTATATAGCCTACATTGCGACGGTTAGAACTGTCGCAAAGACAACATTGCGAAGGTTTGGGAACTGTCGCAGAATTAGTCACCTTTGTGGTTGAGCAACCGATTTTTATTTGTCCTCCATAAATATTTTACACATACAATAGGTTGGGCTAATTCCCTTGAGATCAGAAATAGACCACTCAATTGCTCCTTGATAAAATTGAGCTTTTGGTAGTCAATACACATTCTCCACCCCATGACCGTCCTAGAAGGAATCAAATCGTTTTTCTCATTCTGAATCACTGTCATACTACCCTTCTTTGGAACCACTTGCACAGGGCTCACCCATGCACTATCTGAAATAGGGTAGATCATTTTGGCATCCAACAGCTTAATCACTTCCTTCTTCACTATACCTTCTTCATCACAGGATTGAGTCACCTTTGTGGTTGAGCAACCGATTTTTATTTGTCCTCCATAAATATTTTACACATACAATAGGTTGGGCTAATTCCCTTGAGATCAGAAATAGACCACTCAATTGCTCCTTGATAAAACTTCAAGACTTTCACGAGCCTTTCCTCCTCTAATGTGGATAAGGAACTACTTATGATAATCGATTTGCTTCCACCTTCTTCCAAAAATACATACTTGAGATTGGAAGGAAGTATTTTCAACTCAAGCTTAGGTGCATTCACCTCCCCTTCCTCCTTCAAGTCTTCTATACGCACAAAATTAGGTGTCACCTCCTTATATGAGTTAAGTCTCTTCAAACATGCCTCAATCTATCTATCTTCTTCTTCATGGAGGTATTTTACCACATTAATCGGGACTTTCTCCAAAGGGGTAGAGAAAGAGGCATGCTTCCTAGTGTCTTCCACAAGGTCATCAAGTACATCTACTCGGAAACAACTAATCTTGTCTTTGGGATAGTGCATGGCATCAAAGATATCAAAATTGACTTCTTTATCATCCACTCTCACCTTAAGCTTCCCATTGTCCACATCAATTAGGACTCTTGCAATTTTCATGAATGGTCGCCCAAGAATGAGAGGTACATCAATGTCTTCTTCAATATCCATAACCACAAAGTCAGCGGGAAACAAGAAACGGTCCACCTTCACCAGAACATCCTCCACTATGCCATGAATATACTTTACCAATCGATCAGCCAACTACAGGGTCATGCAAGTAGGCTTCGCCTCCAAATCACCAATCCTCTGAAGCATAGATAAGGGCATGAGATTGATGCTAGCCCCCAAATCAAGCAAGGCCTTCCCAATAGCTAAACTCCCAATAGTGACTGGTAGAGTAAAACTACCGGGGTCTTTGGATTTAACTAGCAACATCTTCTGAATAATGGTACTACATCCCGCCTCCAAATCAAAATATTTTCTCTTTTTGGTAAGTAGCTCTTTCATGAACTTGGCATAGGTAGGCATTTGTTCCAATGCCTCTAAGAAGGGGATGTTAATTTGCAAGGTTTTGAAAATCTCCAAGAACCGAGCATATTGTCTCTCCTTATCTCTTCTTATAGAGGCATGAGGATATGGGAGGTTTTTGGTGGGTGGCACTTTTACAATACTCCTCTCCTCCATGGGTGTTTTCTTTTTCTCTCTACTAGTTCCTTCTTTCTCCTTCTCAACTTTTCTTTTTTCTCTCTCTTTTGGTCATTTTCTTCTCTTATTTTATTCTCTTCAACCAACTCACTTCCATCACTCCTTCTCCATACTCCTGGGCCCAAAAGGATGATTTCTTCATCAACACTAGCATCATCTTCCACGCTCATGTCATTTTTTTCTCCTCCCTCATTCTTTTTCTCACTCTCCTTTACCACAAACTCCCTACCACTTCTTGTAGATACCACATTAAGGTGCCCCTTAGGGTTTTGTTCGGTGTTGGCTGAGAAAGAACCTTTTTTCTACTCTGCTAGTTACTTTGCTATTTTCCCCACCTGTATATCAATATTTTTAACTAAAGCATCGGTGTTCTTTTGGTTGGACATAGACAATTGCATGAATTGTTGTAGTGTGTCTTCCAACTTGGTGGTTCTCTCATATAAAAGTGTGTGTTGGTGTTGTTGTGGAGGTTTGCTACTTGATGAAGCATTCATATCCTGCTTGTTTCCACCATAATTATTTCTCCACCCCTAATTTGAGTTTTGAGGATAGTTTTGCGGATAGGGGTGTTGAGTTCTGACACCCTTGATTTCCCATATAATTAACTTTTTCACCTTGGGAACCGGGTGGTCCAGCACAATAACCATTAGGGTGGTCACCTCCACAAAAATCACATAATAACACTTGTTGCAAATTTATATTCTAGTCACGATTTTGAAATTATATAAAGAAAAAAAAATCGTGTACCTCATGTTAAAGGAAGTATATATAAAATTGTTAATAAAATATAAGTTCATTAAGATAATATACATAATACTTAAAAAAAACTTTTAAATTCTAATAAAAAAAATTATCTTGTAGATTGCGACGGTTTATAGTAAACCGTCGCAATGCTGAAAATTTTGCGACGGTTTATGACTAACTGTCGCAATGTTAAAAAAAATTTGCGACGGTTTATGATTAACTGTCGCAATGTTAAACAAATTTTGCGACAGTTTACGATAAACTGTCGCAATGTTGAACAATTTTGCGACGGTTTATGATAAACTGTCGCAATGTTAAACAAATTTTGCGACAGTTCATGATAAACCGTTGCAATGTTAAACAAATTTTGCGACAATTTACGATAAATCGTCGCAATGTTGAACAATTTTGCGACGGTTTTGAAAAACTGTCGTATGAAGGATCGCAATATCAAAGCGACGATGGTTTCTAGATAACAGTCGCAATTTGTCCGTCGCAATTTATCATTTTTCTTGTAGTGTATGTGAGGTCTTGAAATTATGAGTGCAAACAATTAAAAAAGAATGATTAACATTACTCTCGGGCAAAAACACATTTATCATAATTAATAGGGACATTTATTTTAAGTGACACTACCTTCAACATAAAATTTAAATCTCCAAAGCCATTTGGGGTAATAGTATCAACAAATGCGACAATAGTAGATACTCACTCAAAATTACTGTTAATATTCAAAGGATGACTTCCAACAATCCTATATTCACTGTAAACCAATTATAATTAACTAAAACATTAACAATGGAAAACAAAGGAATATTATAAACTCAAAGTCAACAATTTGGTCTTTAAGGAGAAACTAACCTCGGGATTTAAAAAAATGAATAATATGATGAGTTAATCACCTATACATTGCCAATGTAAAATTTTTTACACGGGCAGTCAATCAGAGACGTTAATAGTGTCTTTTTTATTTTAATTTAATTAAATGAGCAGATGAAAAGGTACTATTAACGGCTCTGATTGACTGCTAATGTAAAAAAACTTTACATTAACAGTATATAGGTGATTAACTCTAATATGACACTATGAATTTTTGTTGAATATACTATTATATCAATATTTGCAAGGAATTGTTCGGTTGGAACAAGTTGCTTTGAGCGTCAGATTCTCATAGCATCCTAGACCACACCAGATAGTCCAAGTATCAGAAGAGTAGAGCTTGAGTTTGGGATACATGCCCGAAGGTTAAAGTTTTGTTGTTCATCATTGTCATACCCTAGCACTGGAATAAGGGGTGACAGTGGAAACTGCACAATTCTTTGTCTTTCTTTTTAACGTTACCTACTTGTTGATATACGACTTGAAGTCTATCTTTGTCACCACTATCTAGTGCCCAATCAACTTCAATGTGTCTAATCAACATTATTGCAAAAAGCATGATAAATATTAAAACATGAAATAAAATTATAACGTATTTACTCTACAAGGAAAAATACAGAAAAAAAAAACAATTACATAATTATGCTTATTGGGAGTCTTGAACCAAATTTGTATAGAGCAATATTGAGAACAATTGCAATCAAAATGCACACAAAAAGGATATAATATATACACACACTCATCCAATTAAAAAAATTCCACCAGGAAAACAAGAGAAGTGTGGGATAAAGGTTTGGCGTGGGATGCATAAAAAATGCCCTAACACTCGTCAAAAGAAAAAAGATGAAATTGTATTGATTGAAGATCGTGGAGGCAACAAGAAAGTGTTAATTTTATAAGGATACACCCTTCCTTTCAAGTTAAGGGTTAGATAAATAGGACCCTAATTTTGACCCATATAAAAGCCTTTTTTATTTTTTAAAATTTTTTTGACTAAAATATAAGTATATTTCAATGAGTTCAACTTTATTCAATATTTTTATTTTAAAAATATCTTTCAAACAATAAATGAGAGCACTATATTAATTGTGATTAAAAATATTTTAAGAAATATAGTATTTTTTTTATCTCATAATAAGTTTCGTGCTTGATGAAAAATAAATTATAAAATAAGTGTTATGTTAGTTTTTTAATATAGTATTAGTTATTGTTTCCATTTATACCCTATCATCATATTTTTTTAGAAAAATGATTATAGTATTGCATCGTTTCTATCAAAGAATATTAATCATAAAATTAATTTTGTAAAGTTATTATTCTCTTCCATCTATTTATTAACTTCTCTTTTCTTGATCCGTTTAAAATAATATAGAATGACATTTATTATGAGACGAAAAAATTATATGTTTAATAAGAATATGTAAAAATTAAATAAATTTAGCTAACTTTCTTAATCTATTTTAAATTATTTTATTTTTCTTATGTATAGGTCAAAAGTGAATATCATTTCTACATTTAAATTTGAATATGTATATTTAGGTAAGAGAGAATATCTTCTTCTTTTTTTTCATTCACTTTACTTATTTTCAATGTGTATCTTTTCTAATATTAGAAATATTAAGAATGGGAAGGTACATAGACAAAAGTTAAATACTAACCACTTTTTTATTAATAAGAATTACAATGACAACAATAAAACTCAAACTTAAGAAGATATTTGCAAGTTATCAACTTTCATTTTTTTAAGAATACTATTCTCAAGAATATAATAATGAAAATGATATTCTATCGAGTATTTTTTAAAATTTGTTTGGTTAGTGAAGAATTATATTTATATATATATATGGGTATGAAGGAAGTTAAAATTAAAAAAAACTTTAATTACCAAGTAATGGGAATTAACTTACCTCTTTCTTTGGGAATAAAACAATGAGAATATATAAATTATTTTATTTTTGGACATGAGAAATAAAATTTGTAATCTTATAACAAACATGGAAAAACACATTTTTTTTATCATATATTATTGATAATACATTAAGAAAACTGGAAACACATGACTCATAAAACTGTAGATAAATTATTCAATCGTCTACCATTAGGTCAATCATAATAGTTATTTTTAAGATGTAAAAAATTACAAAAATAGTTATGAAGATCAAGTATAACTTCCCGTACTTTTATACTATCCTAATCATTTTTTCTAGCCACTAGAATGACTAATCCTAGTAGTCTTAATCCTAACCATTTAAATATTAATCAAATTTAATTTATCATTATTTTATTTTTTATCTACTAAAATATTTAATACCGGAAAGTATCATACACACGTTTTTATTTCAATTTTCAATATATTATTTAATATACTTATTAATTTTTCATTTTTCATTTTATTTTTCTCCCTATTTCTTTTCATTCCATTCATATATCCCTCATCAACATAAATCCATACATCTTAAAAAAGGATCGTATATTTAATACTTTAATTTGCTTAGGTAATTGTCGGTGGGGCATGATATAAGGGGATTGGATTAAGCTTCTAACTTAATCATCTCAAACTCGATATAATCATCACTCTTACGTCAAGCTACAAGTTGTGACTTGTAAGCTTTAAGTTGATGAAATAATATGAAGTTATGTCCCATGAGGGTACGGAACTTGCCTAGTTTTTAAAAAATGGACACAAATAATATCCAATATATCCAATTAAAAGGGTTGCCACACAATGTGAAGGCCAAACCCCACAACATGATTTGAAATTTCATGGGGAAAATGACAGTGAAGCATGTCACGATAAAGTTAAAACATGATATTTGTTATTGGAGGATCGTGACATAACCTCCATCTTCCTATGTTTCTTTTTTACATTAAAAATCTGAAAAATAATTCTATAGCAACAAGTACATTTTCTTATCTGCCAACACAGTACTGACTGGACTAGGAAAACAAAACGTGACAAATGACTTGGCGTCATGTTTGTTTCACAATTTTTATCACTAAACCCATTTTTGCTATAATCCCCAACATGGCCCAACTATCTCTTTTCCCCCCTAATGTTTGTTTGGGCTTCAAAAACCAAAATAAAAGTAAATAAAAAATAATGAAATAAGCATTTGTTTACTGATGAAAACAAAATTGCAGAAATGAAACCATCATTTTCGGAATGTGTAACCTATAAGTTATCTGAAAACTTAATAATTATAAGTTAGGAGTTGAAAAACGAAAATCTTATAGGTTAATTAGTAGAATTGAAAATGTTTTATAAAATTAGTTGATGTTTTAACTAATTAATGTAAAATAATATATTAATATTTATTTATTTATTAATATAGCTATGATTAAAAGAGTAACAGGAC